TGCTCTAGTGGAGTGTGCCCCTGTCCATGGCAAGGGTTGGAAAGAGACGGCCCTGAAGGTTTCTCCCAACCCAAACCATTCTGGGATTCTGTGATCTATCTCTCTACCCACACACCGAACAATTTACAGTCTAAGCAGAAATTCCAGTACCAGGCCCAACTAAATGTCCCTTTCTGTCACCTCCCAGGTGGCCAAATGCCAGCCAGGAACCAGCACAAGCACACACACATTGCTCCTGAGTGCTCTCACATCCAGCTCCTGGCTCTGGATTTACTTTCACAGAATTCCAGAAGGGTCTGGGTTGGAAGGAACTTCAAAGATCATCTCATTCCATCCTCTGCCATGGCAGGGACACCTCCCACTGTCCCAGGTTGCTCCAAGCTCTGTCCAACCTGGTCTTGGACACTTCCAGGGATCCAGGGGCTGCCACAGCTTCTCTGGCAATTCAGTGCCAGGGCCTGCTCACCCTCACAGGGAAGAATTCTTGCCTAATATCCAATCTAACCCTATTCTCTGCTTATTATGAAGCCATTCCTCCTTTCCTATCCCTCCAAGCCCTTATAAATAAGTCTCTCCTCATCTTTCCTGTAGCTCCCTCCAGATCCTGGAAGGCAACAATTAGGCCACCCCAGAGCCTTTTCTTTTTTCCAGACTGAACAATCCAGATTCTCACAGCCCTTCCTCAAAGCTCCATCCCTCCAATCATCTTGGTGGCCTCATCTGGACTTGCTCCATCAAGTCCATGCCCTTACTGTGCTGGGGACTTTCTCACAGAGAACATCTCCCCGGCTCATCCCTAATGGGAGAACTTCAATAAAGCCCACCAGCCTCCCCTTGAGCCTTCTGCCTCCCCAAAACTCTGTGACAGAAAGTTCTCCAGCTCAACTACAGAAGTACAAGGATCCATCTTCCATCTGGTTTGTACCCACACCCTGCAGGCACAACTTGTCTTTAAAGTAGAAATATTTGTATTTATTGCGTGAAACCCGAGTAGGAGAAAGCTGGAGCTCAACCCAAGAACTACAAGAGATAAGACCTGGGGCCACGGTGTGAAACATCCATTTTTGATCAGCTTCTGGGAGGAAACATCCCAGGCAGAGACCAGTCCGAACACATTTCACAGAGCATCAATACACAGGGAAAGTTCAAGAACCAGAAAACGCTGCGCCCACACAGAGTAAAAATAGGAGTTTGGCAGTAAAACTGAGGAATTCTAATTGTGATTATTAAAGCCCTTTGTGGACACGTGGGTACAGTCTCTGATCTGTCACACAGTTCCGTGGCGGGGCGGGACTCTCTGTCTACGCTCTGCTTGCAAATTAGAGCACGGACACTTGGACAATTCAGAAATATATTTTAAATCACATTTATCACAACCAGTCTGTTCATTACGGGGGTGACAGGCTGGGCCGCACAATCCCATTTAAAGCCCTAGCGATGCTCGCTCCTCCCCCTGTTTTAAAGGCTCCGATTTTGGCAGGATCACCGATCCTGGGAGAGCTCCGTGAGAGCACCGCCGGCCCTTCGTGCCCTGTCACACCGCCAGGATCCTCTCGGGGCTGTCCCGAACTAACCCCGGCACGGCCCCGCCGCCGCGGGGCTGCAGCAGCGCGGACCCGCGCCTGAGGCAGCGCCGTGCGAGCGGGCAGGCCCCGGCCCGCCGCGCCGTCACCCGCGCCTTTTGACCAGCTCCTTCGCTCTTCGCCGTCCTCCCTCGTCCCCGCGGGCCCGCCCCGTCCTCGCGGCGCCCCCGGCCGGCCCCGTCCCGCTCACCCTGGGCCGAGAGCTGCCGGACGCTGTTGACGAACTGCTCCAGGGCCGACGCCATCTTGGCGGCTCGCGCCGCGGCCGCGCGCGCCGAGGGGGGCGGGGCGGGGCGGGGCGGGGGGAGCGGCGCGCGCCGCCCGCCGCCCGCCAATCAGGGCCCGCCGCGGGAGCCGCGCGCCGCCCGCCGCCTCTCGCGAGAAGCGCGGTCGCCCTGGCAACCGCCGGGCCCGCGTCAGGCGCGCGGGCGGGGCCGTGACTCAGCAGCGCCTGAGGGGGGGGCGGCGGTGACGTCATGGCGCTGTCGCCATGACATATGTCGCGACATGCGGGCCCCGCGACATGCGGGCCCCGCGACATGCGGGCCCCGCGACATGCGGCCCAGCGACACGACGGCCCATGTGAGAAGGGACCCTGCGCCGCCGGGACCCCAGTGACACCGGGCCCTCCCCACACGCGTGGCCGGTGCCTCCCGCTGCCCGCGGGCCGGGAGGTGAAGCCCACCCGAGGGGCTGCGCTGCACCAGCCGAGGTCTCATCCCTTCTGCCCCCTCTGACAGTGTGGAGGTGCTGGGATGAGCGCGTGGGATGTTCGCTCTGGTAGCACGGAATGGGGTTTGAATCCCTCAGGTTAACACGTGTGTGAAAAGCGCCAGCCACTTGGTTTTTAAAATTTTTAAAGTTTAATAATAATAAAATGGTTATAAAAATAGTAATACAACTAGAGTAATAAAGTTTAGACTTAGGACAGTTACAAGACAATAAAAAGCAAAGAATTACGGACGTCCGGATGCTCTCAGACACCAAGTCACGAAAAGCATGCCTTGTGAATAAAGGAATAACCTTAAAAGCAATAGCCTGTTGCATATTCATATATCTTTCATGGTTATGCATACATTCTATTTAAAACTAGAACTCTGTCTGTTGTATGTCAACAGTTTCTTTTAATCCCCAAGGCATCTTCGAGTTTGAGCAAGGCCTGAAGAAATTAGTTTCTTCTGATAAGAAAACCATAAATTCCTTTTCTTTGGAAGATTTCGGTGTTCCTTGAAGCGAGTAACTCATTCCTAAAAAAAAAAAAAACTCCCCCAACATACATAGTCTCTATTTTAACATTATGTTGGAACCTAAAACTATCTTTAACACACTACTAAAGAGAATTAATACAGCATAACTTTCTAACATTACACGTATAATATTCATTGTAATATTTGTGAAAAGCCAATTATGAAATAGCATTTTTCACACATGGATCCGCGTTTCCCATGCCTCGGGAGCTGCAGCAGCATGTCCTGGAGCTGTTGCAGGCAGGGAATGTGTTCAGTATCTTTGAAGATGAAGGAAACCTGAGTGGAGATCACAGAATTGTAAAATATCCAGAGCTGGAAGGGACCCACAGGGATCATCCAGTCCAACTCCTGGCCCTGCACAGGACAAGCCCAAAATCCCACCCTGAGCCTGAGAGCTCCAAATGCTCCCTGAACTCTGTCAGGCTCAGTGCCCTGACCACTGCCTGGGGAGCCATAAATTTTCATGTATTCCCTCCCTGCTTAGTCAGGAACACCCAGCTGTGTTGAAATCCCATTCCTTGAAGGAAACAAAACGCCTGCGGTGCAAGTGAAAGCAAAACAGACCTGAACTTCACACATTCCCCTCCCAGCTGAGATCACCATCGTGTCCAGCCAGCTCTTCCTTCCTGCCTTCCCTCCGTGACCTTCCCCAGGTCACCCGATCCCAACAGCAGATTTGCCCTCTCTGTGAAACAAGGACAATACATTCCACTTGAAAACATTCTGGACTTGAAAAATTAAATATTTTGGAACCTTATTATTGCTGTCGAGCAGAAACTTTTATTTCCCAGCTCAGTGGTTGCCTAATGCTGTCAGTACCACTTGGAGAACTCCCTCTTTTTCATCAGTTTTAACCCCCAAAATGTTTTTTGAACAGATCTTCGTTGTCTGGTCAGAACACCGAACCTGTTTTTGGTACAGTGTGTGCTCCTTTGGGCTCCGGGAATTGGCTTTTAAGTGTTCCTGTCACGCGTGGGGACAGATCTGTCACACGGCGCAAGAACTCTCAAAACCAAGTGTGTTTTCTGCAGAAAAATCACCATTTTACGTGTGTCCCCAGATGTACCCACCGCCTCTGCATAGAGGGACGGGCATGGGGAGGCAGCGGGCGGGGGACTGGGTATCCCAAAGACTGCCAGCGAGGGAAACTGAGGCAGGCAGGCAGGGAGGGGAAGGGCAGCGGGGCTGGGGCAGCCTTAGGGCGGGCGGCTGCGCTGTCGCAGGGCGCTTGTGCCGCTTTAGGGCGGTGCCGGCGCTCCGGGCTCGCCAGGCACCGGGAAGAGGAACTGGGCTTTGCACTGCCGGGTCGGGCCGAGCTCCGCGCCGGCCCCGCCGCCCGCCCGCCGCCGCTCCGCGCCCGCTGCCGGCGAGGGATGGGGCGGGGACGGGGAGGTCGCGCTGGGGGCCAGGACCAGCCTTTGCATCCCCCCCGAGCCCCCCGGCAGCCCCGCCGCTCCCCCTCGCACCCCCCAGCCGCTCCTTCCCTCTGCTGCAAAGGGATGCGCTTGGCAGGGCTGCCCGCTGCCTCGGTGCGTGCTTGAAATAGAGGCATCCCCCCCC